AAAAAAAACATGGCTGGAATACAATCTATTGATAAAATTTAATAAGGTTGGCGGCATTCCATACTCGCGGAACGTCGCCACCGGTTGGAGTCTGCAATCTAAATGTCCCATCGGCCAACACCTCCTTTATGATATATGGCCCCTCGAAGCTTTTAGCAAACTTTCCTCCATCGGTCGGCCGGCTGACCTCCCTTTTCCGAAGGACCCAGTCGCCCATCTTGAACTGCCTTGGTCGCACCCGCTGGTCGTGATATGACTTGACCTGCCGGCGGTAGTTTTCTGCCCGCATATATGCCCTTTCCCTTCGCTCATCAATGAGGTGCAGCTCTGCCCTCAGGTTCTCCTCATTTCCTTGAGCATCAAACGTCTCTACTCTATAACTTAACAACGAGGTCTCCGCTGGAGCCCTTGCTTCAAATCCATATGTGAGCGAGAAAGGGGTTTCACCTGTTGCCTTCCTTGGGGTAGTTCTGTAGGTCCACAATATATAGGGCACTTCTTCCACCCAGGCACTTTTGCATTCCATTATTTTCTTCTTGAGGCCATCCATGATGGTACGGTTGGTGTTCTCAACCTGCCCATTGGTTTGGGGGTACCCGACCGCCGCATAGCTGTGTTTTATGCCCCAGCTCTGTAGAAACTCATTGAACCCCTCGGCCTCGAATTGGGTTCCGTTGTCAGTGATGATCTGCTGGGGCACCCCGAATCGGCACAAGATTTGCTTGGAAACAAACTTCGTCATCTGTTCCGCAGTGATGGTTGGCACGGGGCCGGCTTCGACCCACTTGGTGAAGTAGTCAATCGCGACCACCAGGTATGTGTTGTTCCCTGTCCCCCGAGGCAAAATACCGACCAGATCGATGCCCCACCGGGCAAAGGGAATCGCTGTGCTTATCGGGGTATAATTCGTCGCCGGTCGCCCTGGCATCCTCTGGAATTCCTGGCAAACCTTGCATTTGCGCACGTACTCTACGCAATCTCTGATAATCGTTGGCCAAAAGTATCCTTGTAGGGTCACCTTCCTGGACATCGTGAAGGCTCCCTGATGCGCTGAACATATTCCCTCATGGATTTCCTCCATTAACTTCTGTGCCTCGCCCGCTCTTAAGCACCTCAACAATGTACCCTTGTACGATCGTTTATACAGCCGACCGCACTCCAGCGTGTAGCTGGGTGCACGTCGCCTCACCACCTTTTCCGCGATTGGGTCGATGGGTAACGACCCGTCAAGGATGTACATGGTAATCTCATCAATCCAATCCGGCTCCTCTCTGAGTGTGATGATCAGCACTTGTCCGGGACTGATGCTTGGCTTGAGCAACTCTTCTTCCTGGGTCATTGCCTTAATATGATCCGGGGAATCCGGACCAAGCTTTGACAAGATATCTGCCTCAGCGTTCTCTTCCCGAGGGACCTGCTCTATCCGGTACGCCCCGAATGCTTTAAGCAACTCCAGGGCAGTGTCTCTATACTTCTTCATTCGTTCATCCTTGGCCTCAAATTCTCCAGTGACGTGGCCTACCACTAGCTTGGAATCGCACCGGACTTGGATTCGCTCAGCTTTTAATGAGGCTGCCAACCTCAAGCCGCAAAGCAGTGCCTCATATTCAGCCTCATTGTTTGAGACTTTAAACCGGAATCTCACGGAGTAGTATGCCTTGAACCCTTCCGGAGATATCGCCACGACACCTCCCCCCGAAGCATCAGTCGCGGACGACCCATCGGTGTACACGGTCCACCAATTCCCCTCGGGTTCTTCTCCACTAGATTCTACCTCCCTCGCAGTGCATTCTACCACGAAATCTGCTAATGCTTGCCCCTTTATCGCCGGTCGCGGCTTGAACTCTATTTGAAAGGATCCCAGGAACACTCCCCACTTGCTGACCCGTGACGGGGCATTTGGGCTTCGAAGAAGCGTTCCGATGGGAATTTGTGATAACACATGGACCGGATGGGCTTGAAAATATTGGGTGAGCTTTTTCACTGTACACACTACCGCAAAGATGGTCTTCTCCATGTTGGTATATCTCAACTCCGCCCCTCGCAGCACTCGGGCCACATAGTACACAGGTCGCTGTGCGCCCTCCTCCTCCCTCACAAGCACCGAGCTCACAGCTCGAGGAGAGATTCCTAAGTATAGGAATAAGGTCTCTCCAGGCTCTGGCTTCGAAAGCACTAGTGGGGAGAGGAGATATGCTTTTAACCCCTCAAAAGACCGTTGACATTCCTCGATCCAAACGAACCCTCTACTCTTCTTAATGGTCTGAAAGAAAGGAGCCGCTCGGTCAGCTATCTTTGATAAGAAACGACTGAGAGCAGCAATCCTGCCGGTGAGCTGCTGGACCTCCTTTACATTTCGCGGAGGCTCCATCTCCAAAATCGCCTTTACCTTTTCCGGGTTAGGCTCGATCCCTCTCCGGCTGACCATATGTCCTAGGAATTTACCCCCCTGCACCCCAAATGTGCATTTCTTGGGTTAAGGCGAAGCTCGAACTTCTTCATGATCTTGAATACTCTCTCCAGGTCGCCAGCATGAGACTCCGTCCGTTTGGACTTGACAATCATGTCGTCCACATACGCTTCCATGCACTCCCCTAGTACTGGCGCGAACAGCTTGTTCACCATCCGTGCATAGGTCGCCCCAGCATTCTTCAAACCAAAAGGCATCACCTTGTAACAGTATACCCCATTGGGGGTGATGAAAGCGGTCTTTTCTTCATCCGCCACTGCCATCTTGATCTGATGGTATCCACTGAATGCGTCCATGAAACTCATCAGCTCACATCCTGC